TACAGCATCTCCTTGTGAGGGGGATGAACATGTCTGGAACCAGACAGAGATGACGGTTGTGAAAGCCGGCAAGCCCTGCCCCATAACGCAGAGTCCTCCACTTTCAACATGGTGAACTGTGCAATATAGGTGAATCTGAGCTCCATTTTTAAACGTGTATCCGTGTGCATTGGGGGAGGGAATTGGGGGGTGACGGCCTGGGCGTGCAGGGTTTCTTTTCAAGGCGATGAGGACGTTCTGGGATTGCATGATGGGGCTGGTTGCGTCTCTTTGCAAATATATGAGAAACCGCTCTGTCCCTGGTGGCCCAGATGGTCAAGAATCTGCCTGCAATGCAGGAGATGCAGGTTAGATCCCTGGATTGGGAAGATCCCCTGGAGGAGGGTGTGGCCGCCCACTCCAGTGTTCTTGCTTGGAGAACGCCTTGGATGGCGGAGCCTGGTGAGCTACAGTCCAGGGGGGTCGCAGAGAGTCGGACACGACTGAGGGGCTAGCGCCCGCACCTGTATGTCAGCTCTGCAGAGGTGATCTTGATGATGTTTTCCTGGCGGCTCTGTAAAGCCCTTAAGAAGAGAGGTCGACGGGGATGGGGGCGGGCGGGGGGTATCTAGGAGCCAAGGATGGACAGGCTGCAGCTCTGTGCGAGCTTGTGTGTGACGTCTGCGTGCAGCTTCCTGCAGAACCTCCGCCCCACCTGGCACCCTGAGGCCCCCAAGCCTCCAGGCTGCCCCGTGCCTCTGGCAAAGAGCCGCCTCTGCCCGCCCAGCGCCCCGGGGGGAGCGTCTTGCGGCCGCCAGCAACCGTTTCTGGCTCATTTCACGCCACTTCCATCCCCCACCCCCTAGTCGTCCGCGCGCCCGCCCGCCCGCCCGCGTCTTTGCGAGCCGGCCGCCTCTGATAGAGGTGATTTCTTGATGAATCAGCCGCGCGTCGCCGTGCTGCAGGGGAAGGCGCTGCCTGCCCGGTCCCCGAGACGGGCACAGGTGAAAGCTTGGGGGGGCCCCCTGGGGGCTGGTGGGGGGGGAGGCGGCAGCTTCGGGGTGCAGACCGAGGCCTCCCGGACGCCCACGTGGCTTCTCTGCGGGGGCCAGCCGCTCTGTTATGCAAATGGAGTCTCTTTTGAAGCTCCCACCGGGAGGTTACGACAGATCCGGGGTAAGGAAGGGGGGGTGGGGGAGTCATCACCGGGCAGAAGTGGAAAAGCGTGCTAGCGGCGGAGTCGTAGTCCGACTCTCTGCGACCCCGTGGACTGTAGCCCCGCCAGGCTCCTCTGTCCGTGGGATGCTCCAGGCAAGAACACTGGAACGGGTTACCATACCCTCCTCCAGGGCATCTTCCCCACCCAGGGATCGAACCGAGGTCTCCTTCATTGCAGGGAGATTCTTGACCATCTGAGCCCCCAGGGGAGCCCCCAGCAGGCTCCCCGCCCCCCAACGCCACTCGACGGGGGAGACTGGGCTTTCTGTCTGCAGCTCTCTGCAACCCGCTCCCCCATCTACTGAGATTCCGCCCCCCACACGACTGTGGATACGCAGTAGCCGCCTGGTCACCCCCAGCCCCGTCCGCTCCACGAGTTCCCCTTTCCACTGCATATCAGAGAGCTCTCTCTTCTCCACGGCGCCCTCCCCCTGCGGCCTCCACGTGCGATCCTGAAACGTCCGGGTCCCTTCTGCTCCTGAACCCCAAAGGTGGATGGAGATGGGGGCCCGTGATGTGTGGGGTTGCACCCCCCCCCCAACCATAACTGTAAGGTCGCACCTGGCCGTGAGCTAGTGGTGCGGAAAGTTTTCCTACTCAAAGCGAAACCCGGGCCATTTTTAAATGGGTTTGAGGAACCTCGTACGGCACACCCCCACCGCAGATGTTACATCTGCGGAGGAACACATAGATGTCCGTGGCGCCGGGGCCTGAAAGGGGAGCTGCAGTGCCGTCAGCGTTGAAGGGCCGCGCGTGCTGGCTTCGCCGGCGACTCAGGGACCATGCTTCCTGCCAACAGACCCCCTGGGGGATGGACGCCCTCCCCGGACCGCGCGGGCAGGTGGCCAACTGCAAGGCGCACGTGAGCCAGGGGGCGTCTTCCGGGCCGGAGCTATAACGGGGGTGGCACCCGGCTGCCCAGCTGAGCCCCACGCCCAGATTTCTGGAGCCCAGATATCAGGCGCTCGCGCGCGCACACACACACACACACACACACACACACACACACACACACACGGCCAAAAATAGAAGTGACAGCTTCAGCCACGGGAAAAATAGCAACTTGGCCAGGTGGCTGAGACAGGCAAGAATCCACCTGCAGTGCCGGAGACCCGGGTTTGATCCCTGGGTCAGGAAGATCCCTTGGAGGAGGGCGTGGCAACCCACTCCACCATGCGTGCCTGGAGAACCCCACTGACAGAGGAGGCTGGCGGGGTACAGTCCATGGGGTTGCAGAGTCGGACATGACTGAAGCAAAGAGGTAACAAAACCATCCCCCGGACTGTGGAAAACCAACAGAGACCAACTGCGAGCTGCCTTTGGGTCGCATTTACATAAGAAACGACAAAGAAAGTGACACTTGGAACGCACTGTGTCCAGAAGGCGGGGCAGGCAGCCCCAGGAATTGCTTCTCCCCTGGGCCCCGGGCCCCTTTCTCTCTGTGAGTCTGAGGGGCCGGCCGTCACGAGCAAGGTGTGTAAGCAGCTCCGGGGACTTCTCTGTTTTGAGCGGGGAGGAAGGTCAGCAGGGAAAAACAGAAGTTCAACAGTGCAAGTTTCAGGTCCCAGCAGCAGGAGTCAGCTCAGAACTCACCGTCTCCAGCAGGCTGGCACTTCCAGTCAGGCTCCGGGCCATCGTAGCATCCCATGCGAGGTCGCTCAGTCCTGCCTGACTCTGTGACCCCACGGGCTGCAGCCCGCCAGGCTCCTCTGTCCGTGGGAGTCTCCAGGCAAGAGCACTGGAGGGGGTTGCCATGCCCTCCTCCAGGGGATCTTCCCGACCCAGGGATTGAACCGGGGTCTCCTGCACTGCAGGCAGATTCTTTGGCATCTAAACCACCAGAGAAGCCCACAATTGAATACACATGTGTTTATATACATGCATACACATGCATGTATATACCATAAGGTTTATATCTGTGTGTTATGTATAGACACACATATATACTCACACATATATACACGCAATGGACTTCCCAGGTGGCGCTAGTGGTACAGAACCCATGTGTCAACTTAGGAGACCCGAGTTTGATCCCTGGGTCGGGAAGATCCCCTGGAGGAGGAAATGGCAACCCACTCCAGTATTCTTGCCTGGACAATCCCATGGACAGAGGAGCCTGGTGCGGTACAGTCCATGGGGTCACAGAGAGCCAGACATCCGTGCAGTGACAAAGAATGCATACATGCCGTATGGTGTGTGTGTATATATCACACACACACACACACACACACACACACACACACACACACACACATGCAATGGCCTTCCCTGGTGGCTCAGGTAAAGAATATTCTGCAGGTAAAGACTCTGCCTGCAGTGTGGGAGACCTGGGTTTGATCCCTGGTTTGGGAAAATCTGGAGGAGGGAAAGGCTACCCACTCCAGTATTTTGGCCTGGAGAGTTCCATGGACTGTATAATCCATGGCATCGCAAAGAGTTGGACTCGACTGAGTGACTTTCACTTTTTTCACATACATGCAATATGGTGTGTGTGGCTATAGCACATGTATGTACATCTATACATGCAATATGGTGTGTGTATATATATCACATATATAAATATAGATATAGAATATAGTGTGTGTATATCTCATATATACATACAATATAATGTGTGTGTATGTAATATATATATACATATACACATGGACTATGGTGTGTATGTATATATCACATATATAGATATACATACAATATGGTGTGTATATATATCACATATATATACATATACACATGGAATATGGTGTGTTATATATATCACATATATATACATATATACATGGAATATGGTGTCTGTGTTTACATATCACATATATAGATATATGCATATTGTAGTGTGTTTGTCACAAATATATATACACATACACATGGAATATGGTGTGTGTATATGTATCACATACATAGATATATACATACAATATGGTGTGTGTATATATGTATCACATATATATACATATACACATGCAATATGGTGTGTGTGTATATATCACATATATATAGATATGCACATGCAATATGGTGTGTGTATATATCACATATATATAGATATGCACATGCAATATGGTGTGTGTGTATATATCACATATATATAGATATGCACATGCAATATGGTGTGTGTGTATATATCACATATATATAGATATTCACATGCAATATGGTGTGTGTGTGTATATCACATATATAGATATACACATGGAGTATGGTGTGTATACATCACATATAGAGATATGTACATGCAATATGGTGTGTGTATATATATATCACATATATATACATATACACATGCAATATGGTGTGTGTATATGTATCACATACATAGATATACACATGCAATATGGTGTGTGTATATATGTATCACATATATATAGATATGCACATGCAATATGGTGTGTGTGTGTATATCACATATAGAGATATACACGTGGACTATGGTGTGTATACATCACATATAGAGATATGTACATGCAATATGGTGTGTGTATATATATCACACATATAGATGTACATATGGAATATGTCGTGTGTGTAGATGTATCACATACACAGACGCATATGTACAATGTGGCGTGTGTGTCACGCATATATGTATACGTAATGTGCGTGTTGTCCACATCCCGTGTGCATACACACCACGTCAGCGCTCCCGCGAACGTGTGCGCGCACCCGTGACGCTCCGGTGTGTCGCCCGCTCTCCCGGGACGCCCCGCCCTGCCGCGCCTGTCAGCTTCCCACCTTGTCTTGCAGATCGGCAGCGCCTATCCGGAGAACAGCCGCGCGCCCCCCCCCCCCGCCACGGCCGCAGCATGGACATGAACGTGACGCGCCCGGACAACGCCACCATCCTGATGCTGCGGGACCCGGCCATCGCGGTGGTGCTGCCGGCCGTGTACTCGCTGGTGGCGCTGGTGAGCATCCCGGGCAACCTGTTCTCGCTGTGGGTGCTGTGCCGGCACATCGGGCCCAAGACGCCGTCCGTCATCTTCATGATCAACCTGAGCGTCACGGACCTCATGCTGGCCTGCGTGCTGCCCTTCCAGATCTACTACCACTGCAACGGCAACCACTGGGTGTTCGGCGTGGTGCTCTGCAACGCCGTCACCGTCACCTTCTACGCCAACATGTACTCGTCCATCCTCACCATGACCTGCATCAGCGTGGACCGCTTCCTGGGCGTCGTGTACCCGCTGGCGTCCGCCCGCTGGCGGCGCCGCCGCTACGCGCTGGCGGCCTGCGCGGCCACGTGGCTGCTGCTGCTGGCGGCGCTGTCCCCGCTGGCGCGCGCCGACCTCACCTACGCCGTGGACGCGCTGGGCATCGTCACCTGCTTCGACGTGCTCAAGTCCACCATGCTGCCCAGCGTGGCCACGTGGGCCGCCTTCCTCTTCACGCTGTTCGTCGTCCTCTTCCTCATCCCCTTCGTGGTCACCGTGGCCTGCTACACGGCCACCATCCTCACGCTGCTGCGCTCCGCCGACCGCCACGGCCGCGCGCAGCGGCGCCGCGCCGTCTGCCTGGCCGCCGTGGTCCTGCTCGCCTTCGTGGCGTGCTTCGCGCCCAACAACTTCGTGCTCCTGGTGCACATGGTCAGCCGGCTCTTCCTGGGTCGCAGCTACTACCACGTCTACAAGCTCACGCTCTGCCTCAGCTGCCTCAACAACTGCCTGGACCCCTTCGTCTACTACTTCGCGTCCAGCGAGTTCCAGCTGCGCCTCCGCGACTACCTGGGCTACGGCCCGCTGCCCGCCGCCGACAGCCCCGACGGCCGCCGCGAGAGCCTCTTCTCCGGGCGGACCCTGTCCGCGCGCTCCGTGGACGGGCAGGAGGCGCCCGAGAGGCCCAGCGTGAGGCGGCAGGAGAGCGTCTTCTGAGACAGCCACCCCTCATCGCCAGCGGGTGGGGTGTGGAGGGACGGCACGGGTCTTTGCGGCCTGTTTTCGGCCACTCCGGGCGCACTGGGATTCAGCGCCACCACGCTGGACGGGACCCGTGCTCTGGGGCGGTCTCACGGAGCCCCGACACATCAACTGGTCCCCCCTCACCACCACCACCACCATCGGAGCCTGGCAAACACCAGGGTCAGCTGCGCTGGGTTGCTGTTGGGGGCTCAGTTTCTCCAGTCGTGTCTGACCCTTTGTAACCCCATGGACTATACAGTCCATAAATTCTCCAGGCCAGAATACTGGAGTGCATAGCCCGTTCCCTTCTCCAAGGGATCTTCTAACCCAGGGATCGAACCCAGGTCTCCTCATTGCAGGCAGGTTCTTTACCAGCTGATCCACCACGGAAGCCAAACTTGTACTTAAACGTCCACAAGCGGCGGCCGCCAGACGGGAAGGATCCAGGAGGTGTGGACCGAGGGGAGCTGTGGACCGAGGGTCTCCGGTGGACATGAAGTTGCTGAGGGTGGTCAGTTTCTCTTGCTACGGCTGTGTCTCCCTGGAGTGCCTCGGGCTGCACCTTGCCTCTGGGGGGGGGGTCTCCCCTGGCCCCTCCTCTGCCCACCGAGCACCCCCAGCCACAGCAGGTCCTCCGGGGGTCTTCGGTGGCTCCTGGTCTGACCCCTGCGATCCTTTGAGGGCCGGGCTAGACCACCGAGCACACGAGCCTGCAGCAGCCCCCCCACAGCTGTGCGGTTTTGAAAAGATGATGGACCCCAGGTCCTGGAGCACCCTGGATGCTGAGACAGCGGGTTGTCGGGGTCTGCCTGAAATAACCTCTGGGCATCACAGGGAGAAGCATAGGATGAATTCAGGGTTCCCTCGGCGGGGGTTGGGGGGGCGCAGAAAACAGCCCTGAAGCCTGTAAGGTAAGACCTGGTGGGGGGCCAGCAGGGAGGGGCTTGGGGAGACCCCCAGGGCAGGGCGGCTGCAAAGCAGGGGACATCCCCCGCCCCGGACCTCAGAGATGCTGGTGGGACTGTGAGCCGATGTTACGGAAGCAGTTGGTCCCCCGATGTCGTTGCTTGGGAATGAGAAGCAGACACGCGTGTGGCGGAGTGGGTGGTGTCCCAACCCCACAAATCCATGTCTGCCCGGAATATCAGAGTGCGACCTACAGGATCAGGGTGGCCCTAGACCCCTGTGACACGGTCCTTATAAGACACAGAAGGGGAGAGACATGGACACAGAGGAGAAGCCACGTGGAGATGCAGGCGGAGACGGGAGGGAGGCGGCCACCAGCCCAGGGACGGACACCTGGAGCCCCCGGAAGCTGGAAGAGGCGGCGAGGACCCTCCCCTGGAGCCTCTGCAGGGAGCTGAGCCCTGGGACCCCTTGACCCCAGACGTCTGGGCCCCAGGACTTGGGGCGGATGGATGCCTGTCTGGGATCCCTCATTTGTAGAACAGTCACGGCCACCCTAGGAGACCCCTGCAGCCTGAGATTCTGAGACTGGGCCTCTGGTCACCGGCCGGGTGATTCTCGGGGTCGCAGTGCCAGGCGCTGGCTCCTGGGGTGGGATCTGTATAGTGCCGTCCAAGCTCTTGGCGGGGAGAAGGACTCGCCTGGGGGTCCCACACATCCCCACCCCCACCACGGGAGGCCCCCACAGAGGACAGTGTCCAAGCCAGTCCGCAGTGTTTGCACAGGGCAGAGACCCACCGTTTGGTGCTTTCAGAATGCTGGCCAGACACGCTACCCAGCCCAGAAAGGACGTGTGCCCATGGGCGGCGGGAGAAGGGCTGGCTTCAGGGACTCGGATCGTCCCAGGATGAGCGTGTGGTCCACCTGCTCTTCCCAGCTGTTCCCAGAGCCGAGCGCCTAGAAAGCCAGGTCACCACGACAACTGTCCGGAGGTGGAAGAACCCTGACCCAGCAAGACGGTGGCAGCCACGTCCTGGGCGTGGGCTTCCAGCGTCTGACGCTGAAAAGCTGTGAAAAACCTCAAACCGCCCTCACGGAACCGTCTTCTTGCCGAGTTGAGAAGAAGCATCACCGTCTGAATTCGGAGGAAGCCGGTCCAACCAATAATGCTGCCCCTCACCACCCCTACCCCCCAGCTCGCAATGGGTGTGACGTCCGTCCAGCCTTTGGGTCCCAGAGGGCTCAGGTCATATTTTGTCACCATCGTCACCACCAGTTCATTGTCCAGCCCCTCGGGCCACCGACCTCGCCCTGATTTCTGCGTCCCAAGGACCCCCAGTTCCGCTGAAGGGAACCGACAGCATCTTCAGGGAACCGTCGACCTTTCCGAGGGGCGCCTGTCGGATCAGCAGAAATTCCAGGGCTGGATTTCCTTTTGTTTCAGCATGTTAATAATATTGTCTGCGTCTCTGTGTTGGTCTTGTTCAGTTACTAAGTCGTTTCTGACTCTTTGCGCCCCCATGGACTGCAGCACGCCAGGCTTCCCTGTCCTTCACCACCTCCCGGAGCTTGCGCAAACTCATGTTCATCGAGTCAGTGATGCCATCCAACCATCGCCTCCTCTGTCGTCCCCTTCTCCTCCCGCCTGCAATCTTTCCCAGCATCAGGGTCTTTCCGAAAGAGTCAGCTCTTCACATCAGGTGGTCAGAGTATGATATCTCTTTTCTTGAACCCGTTTTAAAACACCCACACTGAAATCATGGGGTTTGCTGGAAATCGGCAGATGAAGACATTGATTTATTGTTTTTTCCCAGTGTCTGCTGCATCTTTGGAAACCTGTATTTCTGTCATTTCAGTGACATTTCTCAGTGCCGTTAAAAAGCCTCTAGAGCAGGAATGCGTGTAAATGAACAAACTGCATGGGAGTTCCTGAGGGGGATGGAATGTGTCGGAACACAGCTGTGGGAGTCTCGGATAAACCCCAAACGCCGGGCTGGCTTGTTAATTCCTGCCGCTCGCCCCTGGCCACATCCCTGCCTCGGGTGGGGTGAGGGGGAAGGGGATGAGATTGGAACACAGATCCATCCTTGGAGAAACAGCGACGTCGGTTCTTTGTGGGGCCAGTGGGTGCCTGTGATGTTGTGTGTTCACCCAACACGGAAGGATGGAATGACTGCTTAGGGTTTCAATGCTATGGTGACAACTGCTCTTTAAATCCAGAACTTCTTCAAAATAAACCATCTATTTTTTTTTTTTTTTTCCCAAGCAAGATGTTTGGCTTGTGTGTTGAACAGAACAGGCATCTTCGGGGGCTGCCGCTGGAGTCTAGGGGGCAATTTAACCCAGCGAAGGAGAGTTGATCCTAACTCCACACAGGGGTCATGCGTGCTAAGCTGCTCAGCCGTGTCTGACTCTTTGCGACCCCATGGACTGTAGCCCACCAGGCTTCTCCGACCATGGGATTCTCCAGGCAAGAATACTGGAGTGGGTTGCCATGTCCTCCTCCAGGGCATCTTCCCGACCCAGGGATTGAACCCAGGTCTCCCACGTTGCTGGCGGATTTTTTACCATCTGAACCACCAGGGAAGCCCGATATACAGCATACTCCATGATATACCATATACATAGAGAGGCTTCCCTGGGGGCGCAATGGTAAAGAATCTGCCTGCAAGGCAGGAGACCCGGGTTCTTATATACAGCCACATGAACACAAAGATATGTATTAGTTTAAATATAGGTGGTATGATTTAGTCAGGGGTCGTTTTGCTTCTCGGCACTGGGGGCAGGGGCTGCCCCTGGAGGGTGGTGGGAGGAGACCACAGCTGCTCCGCACCCCACAGGGCCCAGGACGCCCCACACCAGAGACTCGTCCAGCCCCAGACAGCGGTAGGGCAGAGACCCCGAGTAGGCATGACTCTTACCTGCTTATCTGTCATCTCTCATCCTCCATCTATGTATCCATCCATCCGTCAGTCAGATCTGTTGGTTTCTATAGTATAATGTGCCTCATCTATCCATCTAGCACTTTCCTAACACCTACTTATCTGTCTACATCAATGTATATGTATCCATCCATTCAACAGTGCAACCATCCATTATAGCTATCAATCATCTTATCTATCCATCCATCCATTTTATCTATCATCTATTTATTTACCTATCCATCCATGCATCTATATCTGGCAATCATCTATTCACTTTATCCATCCATTATATCTATCATCTATCTATCTATCTATCCACGCATCATATCTATCGATCCATTCAGCCATCATATCTATCTATGATCTATCTATTTATCTGTCCATCCGTCATATCTATCTACCTAACCATCCATCCATCATATCTATCATCTATCACATCCATCTATCCATCCATCATATCCGTCTATCCATCATATCTATTTATCTATTCATCCATCCATCATATCCATCCATCCGTCCATCATATACATCTATCCATCTATCCATCATATCTATTTATCTATTCATCCATCATATCCATCCATCCATCCATCATATACATCTATCCATCATATCTATCTATCCATCTGTCCATCATATCCATCTATCCATTCATCCATCCATCTATCCATCTATCCATCATACCCATCCCCCCATCCATCCGTCCATCACATCTATCCGCCGGTCCATCATATCTATCATCTACTTATCTATCCATCCATCCATCTGTCCATCATACCCATCCACTCATCCATCCGTCCATCATATCTATCCGACCGTCCATCACCCACCTCTCCAGCCCTGTCTAACCGGGGCGCACAGTGAGGGCTGACTCGGTCCTCCAGTGGACGGGGCGCCTGCAGATGGTCGGGTTGTCACCATTAGTGGGCAGCTATTGCCATCTAGTGGACACAGACCAGAGCCGCTACTGAACGCGCTGCAGCCGCCCAAGGCAGCCCCACGAAAATGAATGATACGGCCCCTAGCGTCAGTAGTGCTTAGGCTGCGAAGTGCCCGCACCCCCAACGCAGGCCGGGGACCTGCGCACACCCCCACTGCATTCCGGGGACCACCATCTGCACAGACTACCGCGCCCCGAAAACCCCCATCTCCACACACCCGCACTGCATTCTGGGGACACCATCTCCGCCCCCATCAAGCGTCGGGGACCCCCGTCTCCGCCCCCATCAAGCCCCGGGGACCCCATCTCCCCTCCATCAAATCCCGGGGACAGCCGTCTTCCCTCTATCGAGCCCCAGGGACCCCATCTTCCCTCCATCAAGCCCCGAGGGCCCCATCAAGCCCCGGGGACCCCATCTCCCCTCCATCGAACCCCGGGGACCCCCACCTCACCCCCACCGAGTCGCGGGGACCCCATCTCCCCTCTCTAGTCGCGGGGACCCCATCTCCCCTCCATCAAGCCCCAAGGATCCCATCAAGCCCCGGGCCGCCCCCATCAAGCCCCGGAAGCCCCGCTTCCTCCCCCATCAAGCCCCGGGGACCCCCATCTCTGCCTCCATCAAGCCCCGGGGACCCTCTTCTCTGCGCTCCCAAGATGCCTTGCGGGCTCCGGGCCCCGCCCTCTGCCTGGGCCTGGTAAGAACCCCCAGCGGCCGGGGGCGGGGCTTCGAGGGTGGGCGGGGCTTCGCTCGCCGCCGGCCCGGAAGCGCCGCCGGAGCCCCACCAGCCTCGGGGAGGGGGGGGGGCGTGACCTGGGGGCGGAGAGGCTTGGGCGTGGCTCCAGTGGCCGGGGCGGGGCTTCGCTGGGGGCCGGCCCGGGACGAGATTTCATTGGTGCTGAGGCCGGGCCGTGGGCGGGTCGAGGCGGGGCTTCGTTGGTGGTGAGGCCTGTGCGAGGGCTTCATTGGTGGTGAGGCCCGGCCGTGGGCGGGCCTGGGTCGGGGCTTCTGTGGTGGCGAGGCTTGGGCGCGGCTCCAAAGGCCGGGGCGGGGCTTAATAGTGGGCAGGGCCCTGGGGCGGGGCCCGTGCGGGCCGAGACGGGGTTTCATTGGAGATGAGGCCCGAGCGTGGCTCCAGCTTCCGGGGGCGGGGTCTCGAAGGGGGCGGGGCCGGGGCGGGGCTGGGCGCGCTTTGCTGCGCGCGCAGCGCGGCTCGAGGCGGTGGGCGCCGGGCGAGATGCTCCTGTGTCCGGTGATCCGGAAGCTGCAGCACAAGCGCGTGGTGTTGGCCAGCTCCTCCCCGCGCCGCCAGGAGATCCTCAGCAATGCTGTGAGCGGCCCGGGCCCGGGGTCTGGGGGCGCCGGGGTCTGGAGGGGTCGGGGTCTTGGGGGGGCCGGGCCTGCGGACCCGGGCCTAGTGACTGGAGGCCTTGGGACTCCCGGCGTCGTTACCCAGGCCTCCCGTATGGGCGCCAGAGTTACGGGTCCGGGGTCTAGAAACTGGGGCTGTCTTAGTAGTTAGGGGACGGCTTTGGCCAGTGGCCGGTGGCTGGAGACGAGTGCCCGACGGTCCTGATGACCTAGCCTTCATGGGTGGGGGACGGTGGGGGAGATGACAGGGGCCTTGGGGGGTCTGCAGGGCCGGTGCCTAGTGTTTGGGGGTCCTAATGATTTGGGAAGGCGGAGGTAAGAGGGGGTGGGTGTTTGCAGGCCCGGGGTCAGCGGTGGGCCCGGCTGACAGGGTCAGAGATCCAGGGTCTCAGGGCAGAGGCCTTGTGACTGAAGGTCTGGTGAGCAGGGCCGTGGGGATTCTGCAGGGCTGGGGGCCTCAGTGACGGGTATCTGGAGTCTACAGGACTGGGGCCTGAGGTAGCCAGAGGGCAGGATCCTAGTGACCAGGGTCCAGTTATGTGGTCTCCGTGATCTGGGGGAGCTCTGGTCTTCCAGCTCTGCGCCAGGGCTCAGTGACCTGGCGATCTGCTGGCCATGGGGTGTGGGGTTGCTGGGCCAAGGCCAGGTCTATGTGCCTGAGCTGGATTTGTCCAGGTGCTGGTGGGGAAGGGGGAAGCTTGGTCTGCCTGGGGAGGCCCTATCTGGGAGGGGCAGAGAAGCAGGGATACCAGCTAGGGGGAGAGATAGAGCAGAAATTCTTGCCTGGGTGGGGGGCAGGTACAGAATGAGGGGTGCTATAAGTACCTCCCGGGGAGAGTACAGAACTGGAGGGGGGGGGGTGTCTCATAGTGTGACCCAGGGGTTAACTGGGGGTCTGGGAGGTCCACGATGGAGGTGGAGAGGGGGCTGGGATGCAGAAAAGTAAGAGGCAGCTGGCTGCTCACAGAGGTCCCGCGTGGGCAGTGTGGGAGGGGGAGTTTGACCCTCTGTGGTCAAGACCCCCAGCCCCCACTCTGGAGGCCGAGGTGTCCGTGACCCGCCTCCCACAGGTCACCTGCCTGGTCACCACTCTGGAGGCAGCGGTGTCCGTGACCCATCTCCCACAGGTGACCTGCCTGGTCACCTGTGTTGGGCACCAAGCTAAGGCACCCCAGTTATTCTCCCTCACGCAGCCACCGTGTGTGTGGCTTTTGGGGGGCCTTTCCTGCAGCCGCTGTCATCTCAGTAGTCTGACCCCTGTGAGGGCAAAATGCCGGCCTTTGGGACTCTCCAGGAGCCCTTTGACCCCTCGGGGCTGCACCCCAATCGATAGCGCCCTGCTGGCCTCTGCATGCACAGAGGTCTTCTCACCAGGGTCCCCGGGCCCCCCCACCCCCGTACCGGTCACACTCGCCCAGCGGCCAGGAGCTGGCCCTTGTTCAGCATCTGTAATCAGGGAAGGTGGGCTGGGTGGGGGGGAAAAGGCAGGCTCCTTCAGTTCCTGCTCACCTGTCAGCGTCCTGGGGCTCCCCCCGCAAACCCCTCTTCTGTCCCGTTCCAGGGCCTCAGGTTCGAGGTGGTCCCGTCCAGGTTCAAGGAGAAGCTGCACAAGGCCTCGTTCGCCACCCCGCAGGCGTACGCCGTGGAAACGGCCAAGCAGAAGGCCCTGGAGGTGGCCGGCCGGTTGCACCAGGTGAGGGCTCCTTTCCTGGGTCTCCTGCTAGCTGGGCGCCTTCAGGCGTTAATCACACCTGTTGTAAAGCAGTGCCCTTCGCAGCGGGCAGTGGGTGTAGCTTCTCTGTGACTGAGTGTCCTTGCGTTGTGGACACGTGTAATCCATGGGATGGGATTGTTTGTGCAACGTTATCTCTCACTTTGCTAGTATGTAGCGTGCTGTTGCAATTCATATCAGTGTCATTCGGGGTGAAGAGTTGAGCTATGTAGTCTATTACCAGGTGCTACCAGGCCGTGTGCTACTGTAACTAACGTAATAGCATCATTTATGATGCAGAATCCCCTGGCTTCTGGACAGAATACTGCAGGAGAAAATGGCTACCTGCTCCAGTATTCTCACCTGGAGAATCCCGTGGACAGAGGAGCCTGGCGGGCTACAGTCCATGGGGTCGCAGAGACTTCCACGCGACTGAGCGTGATATAGAGTTAATGTAGCTTTAACACTGAATTACCATATAATATACTATGACACCATGGCATTTACTATAGCAGCATCACTGATGGGTATGGAAATAAGGCAACTTGTCTGTTACTGTTACTCTGTAAAATACTGTGGTATTTAATATAATAGCATCATGATATGGAAATCATGTAGCCAGTTTATTACTGTTACTATATAGCATACTACAGTATATAACAGCATCATTTATGCTGTAGAAACAATATAGCTTATATGTTACTGTTACTGTTTAATGTACTCTAGCATGCGCTTCCCTTGTGGGTCAGCTGGTAAAGAATCTGCCTACAATGCAGGAGACCTGGGTTCAGTCCTTGGGTTGGGAAGATCCCCTGGAGAAGGGAATGGTTACCCACCCCAGTATTCTTGCCTGGAGAATTCCATGGACTCTATAGTCTATGGGGTCTCAAAGAGTCTGACACAACTGAGGGACTTTCACTTTCATACTATCGTCTATGATATAACAGCATCATTTATGATACAGAAACAGTGTAGCTTATATATTACTGTTACTATGTAATATACTGTGGTCGATTACATAACAGGATCATTGATGCTATAGAAACAATGTAGTTTATATATTGCTGTTACTATTTAATATAACAGCATTATTTATGATACAGAAATTATGTACCATATCTATTACTGTTACTATTTCATATATTATGGTATTTAATATAGTAGCATCGTGATGTAGAAAATAAATGTAACTAGTTTGTTGCTATTACTATATAATGTACTATAGTATATAACAGCATCATTTGTGGTATAGAAACTGTTGCTTATATATTCCTATTACTATTTGATATAGAAATAATGTACCATATCTATTACTGTTACTATTTAATATATTATGATATTTAATATAACAGCATCATGATATAGAAAATAACTAGTTTATTACTATTACTATATAACCTACTATAGGTTATGTAACAGCATCATTTATGATATAGGAACAGTGTTGCTTATGTATTACTGTTACTATTTAATATACTATGGTATTTAATATAGAAGCATCACTTATAATATAGGAATAACATATCTCTGTATTGCTATAAGTGTTATTATGGAATATCCAGTTGCAATTAACATAACCATATCGCTTATAATGTAGAATTAATATACCTTATCTATTATGAGGTGTAACTCTATAATATACAAAAATACATAATATTGTATACTATATACTTTTATGTATAGTGTATATAATGCTATATAGCATACATAATGAATTATATACATTATAATGAAACAGTACATTATTGTTATATAATATAACAATATCATTTTTAATACAGAATTAATATAGATTATCTGTGTTACTATAAAATGTATTAATTAATGTAAGTGTCATTTATGATATAGAATCAGTGTAGCTTCCTATTACTTATAATAGTTGTAAGTAATATAATATAATATATGAAAGCATGAAGTGTTATTTGCTCAGTTGTGTCCGACTCTTTGCCTTGTGACCCCATGGACTGTAGCCCACCAGGCTCCTCTGTCCCTGGGATTCTCCAGTCAAGAAGACTGGGGTGGGTTACCATTCCCTCCTCCAGGGGATCTTCCCGACCCAGGGATTGAACCCAGGTCTCCTGCATTGCAAGCAAGTTCTTTACCATCTGAGCCAGCTGGGAAGTCATAATTATATATAGTAATATGTAACTGGGGACCCCATGGCGGCTCAGTGGTAAAGAACCCACGTACCGATGCTGGAGACGCAGGTTTGATCCCTGGGTGGGAAACGTTCCCTGGAGAAGGGGAATGGCAACCCCACTCCAGTATTCTTGCCTGAAGAATCCCATGGGCAGAGGAGCCTTGCTGGCTACGGTCCAAAGGGTTGCAAAGAGTTGGACACGACTGAGCGACTAACTTTTACTTTCACTGTCTCCCTGGACTGGTGTCTTGAGGACACTCAAGTCTCGCTTTCTAAAGCAAGACTGGATCCATAAATAAACTGTGATGCTTTGTGCCGCGCGTCCTGACGTGAAAATGTGTTAGACATACAGGCTCATCCTGCCTAAAGCTGAGTCTGTATTTCTTGCA